TGGGAATTCCGGGATTTTGGGTGGGAATTCCATGATTTTCCCTGGAATTCCGGGATTTTCCCACCTTGACGACGTCGGGCTGGGGGTCCTGCAGGTGCAGCAGGAGCGGGACGAGGCTGTTGAGGATCTGATCCCGGAAAAGTTGGGAATGGGAGGAGCGGGAGAGGTTCCCGAAGAGGAGGATGGAGCAGCGCCGCAGCTCCCGCCGCTCCTGGAGCCGGAAAAACGGGAAAAACGGGAAAATCCCGGGATTTGGGAGGCGGGAATTCCCAAATCTGATCCCAAATCCCGTCACAGATCCCAAATCTGATCCCAAATCCCCTCCTGTGATCCCAGATTCCATCCTCTAATCCCAAATTCCATTCCCTGATCCCAAATCCCCATTTCCCGATCCCAAATTCCCTCCTCTGATCCCAAATCCGATCCCAAATCCCCTCACAAATCCCAAATCTGATCCCAAATTCCCTCCTCTGATCCCAAATCTGATCCCGAATCCCGTCACAAATCCCAAATCTGATCCCAAATTCTGAATCTGATCCCAAATCTGATCCCAAATCCTCTCACAAATCCCAAATCTGATCCCAAATTCTGAATCTGATCCCAAATCCCGTCACAGATCCCAAATCTGATCCCAAATTCTGAATCTGATCCCAAATCTGATCCCGAATCCCGTCACAAAATCCAAATCTGATCCCAAATTCCATCCCCTGATCCCAAATTCCAAATCTGATCCCAAGTGTGATCCCAAATCCCAAATCCCATTCCCTGATCCCAAATCTGATCCCGAATCCCAAATCCCTGATCCCAGATTCCTTCTGACCCCAAATTTGATCCCAAGTGTGATCCCAAATCCCCTCCTGTGATCCCAAATCCCATTCCGTGTTCCCAAACCTGATCCCAAATCCCAAATCCGATCCCAAATCCCAAATCCGATCCCAAATCCCAAATCCGATCCCAAATCCCAAATCCGATCCCAAATCCCAAATCCGATCCCAAATCCCAAATCCGATCCCAAAACTCCTCCCCTGATCCCAAATCCCATTCCTTGATCCCAAATCCCAAATCTGGTCCCAAATCCCATTCCCTGATCTCAAATCTGTTCCCAAATCCCCTCCTGTGATCCCAAATCCCACAATTCCAGTGGGAAAATTCCAAGGGGAAAATTCCAAAGGGAAAATTTCCAAAGGGAAAATTCCAATGGGAAAATTCCAGTGGGAAAATTCCAATGGAAAATTCCAATGGGAAAATTTAATGGAAAAATTCCAAGGGGAAAATTTCAATGGGAAAATTTCAATGGGAAAAATTCCAATGGAAAATTCCAGTGGGAAAATTCCAAGGGGAAAATTCCAACAGGAAAATTCCAGTGGGAAAATTCCAAGGGGAAAATTCCAACAGGAAAATTCCAATGGGAAAATCCCAAGGGGAAAAAATTCCAACAGGAAAATTCCAATGGGAAAATCCCAAGGGGAAAAAATTCCAACAAAAAAATTCCAAGGGGAAAATTCCAGTGGGAAAAATTTCAATGGGAAAAATTTCCAATGGGAAAATTCCAACAGAGAGAAAATTCCAAGGGGAAAATTCCAGTGGGAAAATTCCAATGGAAAATTCCAACAGGGAAAATTCCAGTGGGAAAATTCCGATGGGAAAAATTTCCAATGGGAAAAATTTCCAAGGGGAAAATTCCAACAGAGAGAAAATTCCAAGGGGAAAATTCCAGTGGGAAAATTCCAGTGGGAAAATTCCAATGGGAAAAATTCCAATGGGAAAAATTCCAATGGGAAAAATTTCCAAGGGGAAAATTCCAATGGGAAAATTCCAGTGGGAAAAATTCCAGTGGGAAAATTTGAATGGAAAATTCCAGTGGGAAAATTCCAGTGGGAAAATTCCAATGGGAAAAATTCCAATGGAAAATTCCAACAGAGAAAAATTCCAAGGGGAAAATTCCAGTGGGAAAATTTCAATGGAAAAATTCCAAGGGGAAAATTCCAGTGGGAAAATCCCGATGGAAAATTCCAACAGGGAAAATCCCAGTGGGAAAATTCCAAGGGGAAAATTCCAACAGGAAAATTCCAGTGGGAAAATCCCAATGGGAAAATTCCAACGGGGAAATCCCAACGGGAAAATCCCAATGGAAAATTCCAACAGGGAAAATTCCAGTGGGAAAATCCCAATGGGAAAAATTCCAAGGGGAAAAATTTCCAAGGGGAAAATTCCAACAGAGAGAAAATTCCAAGGGGAAAATTCCAGTGGGAAAATTCCAAGGGGAAAATTCCAGTGGGAAAATTTCAATGGAAAAATTCCAAGGGGAAAATTCCAGTGGGAAAATCCCAATGGGAAAATTCCAACAGGGAAAATTCCAGTGGGAAAATCCCAAGGGGAAAACATTCCAAGGGGAAAAATTTCCAAGGGGAAAATTCCAACAGAGAGAAAATTCCAAGGGGAAAATTCCAGTGGGAAAATTCCAAGGGGAAAATTCCAGTGGGAAAATTTCAATGGAAAAATTCCAAGGGGAAAATTCCAACAGGGAAAATTCCAGTGGGAAAATCCCAAGGGGAAAATTCCAAGGGGAAAATTCCAAGGGGAAAAATTCCAAGGGGAAAATCCCAAGGGGAAAATCCCAAGGGGAAAAATTCCAAGGGGAAAATTCCAAGGGGAGAATCCCATAGGGGAGAATCCCATAGGGGAGAATCCCATAGGGGAGAATTCCAGCGGGAAAATTCCCAGATTTCCCGGGAATTCCCGGGAAAAGCTCACGCTGTCGAAGAAGGGCCGGATGCGGACGGCGACGCGGAGCAGCTCCGAGCGCTCGTCGCGCTCCTCCAGGTGCTCCAGGATTTTGGGAATTCCTTCCATGGATTCCAGAGCCAGGAGATTGTCGGGATCGTCGCGGTCGTCCAGCCCCGCCACCAGGGACCCCAAAATCCGGGAAGCGTGCGCACGGAGCTGCCGGGAAAAACCCCAAAAAAACGGGACGGGGGAAGGGATTGCGGGAATTCTGAGCGGGAATTTGGGGAATTCGGGAATTCGGGAGGGAATTTTGGGGATTCGGGAGGGAATTTTGGGGATTCGGGAGGGAATTTTGGGGATTCGGGAGGGAATTTTGGGATTTTGGGTGGGAATTTTGGGAATTTTGGGAATTCAGGAGGGAATTTTGGGGATTTTGAGAATTCAGGAGGGAATTTTGGGGATTTGGGAGGGAATTTTGGGAATTTCGAGAATTCGGGAGGGAATTTTGGGGATTTTGAAAATTCAGGAGGGAATTTTGGGAATTCAGGAGGGAATTTTGGGAATTCTGAGTGGGAATTTTGGGAATTCAGGAGGGAATTTTGGGAATTCAGGAGGGAATTTTGGGGATTCAGGAGGGAATTTTGGGAATTCAGGAGGGAATTTTGGGAATTCAGGAGGGAATTTTGGGAATTCAGGAGGGAATTTTGGGAATTCAGGAGGGAATTTTGGGAATTCAGGAGGGAATTTTGGGAATTCAGGAGGGAATTTTGGGAATTCAGGAGGGAATTTTGGGAATTCAGGAGGGAATTTTGGGAATTCAGGAGGGAATTTTGGGAATTCAGGAGGGAATTTTGGGAATTCAGGAGGGAATTTTGGGAATTCAGGAGGGAATTTTGGGAATTCAGGAGGGAATTTTGGGAATTCAGGAGGGAATTTTGGGAATTCGGGAGGGAATTTTGGGAATTCAGGAGGGAATTTTGGGAATTCAGGAGGGAATTTTGGGAATTCGGGAGGGAATTTTGGGGATTTTGAGAATTCAGGAGGGAATTTTGGGGATTTTGAGAATTCAGGAGGGAATTTTGGGAATTTGGGGATTCAGGAGGGAATTTTGGGAATTCGGGAGGGAATTTTGGGAATGCTGAGCGGGAATTTTGGGGATTCTGAGTGGGAATTTTGGGGATTTTGAGAATTCAGGAGGGAATTTTGGGAATTTGGGAGGGAATTTCGGGAATTCTGAGCGGGAATTTTGGGGATTTTGAGAATTCAGGAGGGAATTTTGGGGATTTTGGGGATTCATGAGGGAATTTTGGGAATTTGAGTGGGAATTTTGGGAATGTTGAGCGGGAATTTTGGGAATTTGGCAATTTGGGTGGGAATTTTGGGAACTTTGGGAATTATGGGTAAGAATTCTGGGAATTCTGAGTGGGAATTTTGGGAATTCTGGGTGGGAATTTTGGGAATTCGGGGAATTCAGGAGGGAATTTTGGGAATTTGGGTGGAAATTTTAGGAATTTGAGTGGGAATTTTGGGAATTTGAGTGGGAATTCTGGGAATTCTGGGTGGGAATTTTGGGAATTCAGGAGGGAATTTTGGGAATTTTGGGAATTCAGGAGGGAATTTTTGGAACTTTGAATTCCAGGGAATTCCAACCTTTCCCTCTGGAAACAAGAATCCAATCCCAGGAATTTTCCAGGGGAAAAACAACGGGAACATCAAAATTCCAATAAAAAAAAACCGGGAATGGCGTCAACGAATTAATTAATTAAGGATTCATTAAAGGAAATTCGGGAATCTGAGAAATTCCCAAGGGGAATTCCCAAGCTGGGAATTTCGGGAACGATCCCATTCCCAAACCCGGGAAGAACATCCCAGAAAAACGGAAATCCCGGGATTTTTCCGGGATTTTTTTTTGCATCCCTTCCCACCTTTTCCGGCGATCCCGAAGCCGCGTTCCCGAGGCCTCGGAGCGCCAGGATCCGCACGAGGACCGAGGGATCCTTTTCCAGAGGCCTCAGAGATTCCAGGATCGGCTCCAGAAGGATCAGGTCGGTCACCACCCTGTGGGACAGCAGCTGGAAAAACGGGAAAAAAAAAAAATCGGGATACGCCCGGGAAAAAAAAATTCCCCCGGGATCAAAGAATTCCAAGGGAATTATTCCCGGGGAAAAAACGGGATCGGGAGAATTCGGGGGTTTTTGGGAATGGGATTTTCCCTCCATCCCGAGGAGCTGGTGGGAATTGTTTGGCCTCATGGAAAGGGTTGGAGGGTCGGGAATTGAGGGATCCGGGAAAAAGCGGGAATTCGGGATGGGGTTGGGATGGAGGGAGGGATCCGTGGGATGGAGGGATGGGATGGATCCATGGATGGAGGGATGGGATGGATCCATGGATGGAGGGATGGGATGGATCCATGGAGGGAGGGATGGGATGGATCCATGGAGGGATGGGATGGATCCGTGGAGGGATGGGATGGATCCATGGATGGAGGGATGGATCCATGGATGGAGGGATGGGATGGATCCGTGGATGGAGGGATGGGATGGATCCATGGATGGAGGGATGGATCCACGGATGGAGGGATGGGATGGATCCATGGATGGAGGGATGGGATGGATCCATGGAGGGATGGGATGGATCCATGGAGGGAGGGATGGGATGGATCCATGGAGGGATGGGATGGATCCGTGGAGGGATGGGATGGATCCATGGATGGAGGGATGGATCCATGGATGGAGGGATGGGATGGATCCGTGGATGGAGGGATGGGATGGATCCATGGATGGAGGGATGGATCCACGGATGGAGGGATGGGATGGATCCATGGATGGAGGGATGGGATGGATCCATGGAGGGATGGGATGGATCCATGGATGGAGGAATGGGATGGATCCGTGGGATGGAGGGATGGGATGGATCCATGGATGGAGGGATGGGATGGATCCATGGAGGGATGGGATGGATCCATGGATGGAGGGATGGGATGGATCCGTGGATGGAGGGATGGGATGGATCCATGGATGGATGGGAGGGATCCATGGATGGAGGGATGGATCCATGGATGGAGGGATGGGATGGATCCATGGATGGATGGGAGGGATCCATGGATGGAGGGATGGATCCATGGATGGAGGGATGGGATGGATCCATGGGATGAAGGACAGATGGATCCATGGATCCATGGATGGAGGGAGGGATCCGTGGATTGATCCATGGATGGATCCATGGATGGATGGGATGGATCCATGGATGGAGGGATGGGATGGATCCATGGATGGATGGATGTGATGGATTCATGGATGGATCCATGGATGGAGAGATCCATGGGATGGAGGGATGGATCCATGGATGGATAAATCCATGGACGGATGAAGGATCCATGGGATGGAGGGATGGGATGGATTCATGGACAGATCCATGGATGGAAGGATGGATCCACAGGATGGATCCATGGAAGGACAGATGGATCCATGGATGGATCATAGATCCATGGATCCATGGATGGAGAAATGGGATGGATCCATGGATGGATGGATGAAGGATGGATGGATCCATGGATGGAAAGATGGATCCATGGATGGATCATGGATCCATGGATCCATGGATGGAGAAATGGGATGGATCCATAGATGGATGGATGAAGGATGGATGGATCCATGGATGGATGGAGAGATCCATGGGATGGATCCATGGATCCATGGATGGATAAATCCATGGATGGATGATGGATCCATGGATGGATAAATCCATGGATGGATGGATCCATGGATGGATGATGGATCCATGGATGGATAAATCCATGGATGGAAGGATGGATCCATGGAAAGACAGATGGATCCATGGAAAGACAGATGGATCCAGAGGATGGATCCATGGATCCATGGATGGAGGAATGGATCCATGGACAGATCCATGGATGGACAGACAGATGGACGGATGGATGGATCCGTGGGATGGATCCATGGATGGAGGAATGGATCCATGGACAGATCCATGGATGGACGGATGGATGGATCCATGGATGGATCCATGGATGGATCCATGGAAGGACACGTGGATCCACAGGATGGATCCATGGATTCATGGATGGATTCATGGACGGATCCATGGGTGGAAGAATGGATCCATGGAAAGACAGAGGAATCCATGAATGGATGGAGGGATCCGTGGATGGATCCATGGGATGGATCCATGGAATGACGGAGGGATCCATGGATAGACAGATGAAGAATGGACAGATCCATGGGATGAATCCATGGACAGATCCATGGATGGATGAAAGAATCCATGGAAGAATGGATCCAAAGATGGATCAATGGGCCGGATCCATGGATGGATGAAAGATGGACGGATTCATGGATGGATGGAGGAATCCATGGAAGGAGGGATGGATCCACAGGATGGATCCATGGATGGACAGATGGATCCATGGACAGATCCACGGATGGATGGATGAATGACGGATCCAGAGATCCATGGGATGGATCCGTGGATGAATGGAGGGATGGATCCATGGAATGGATGGAGAGAGGGAGGGATGGATCCACGGACAGATGGACAGATCCATGAACGGATCCACAGGATGGATCCATGGAAAGATCCACGGAAGGAGGGATGAAAGACGGACAGATCCATGGAAGAATCCACGGAACGACGACGGATCCATGGGATGATCCCACAGATGGATGGACGGATCCATGGATGGATGAAGGGATCCATGCGATGCATCCATGGATCCACAGCCAGATCCACTAATCCCCAGGCAGATCCCTTCAGGAACAGCTCCCAGGAGGATCCCAAATTCCCGCCCATCCCAACATTCCCGGAATTCCGGCTCACCTCGGCCAGGAAGGCGGTGCTGGTCACCCTCTGGCACTCGAAGACGCTTCCCAGGATCGGGATGAGGCTCCGGACGATCGGAGGGAGACGAGGTCCCATGAGCCGAGCCATGGCCCTGGGCGGGAACAGAGATCAGAACGGCGGGAATCGGATCGGGAATGGCGGGAATGGGCTCGGGAATGGCGGGAATGGGCTTGGGAATGGCGGGAATCGATCCGGGAATGGCGTGAATCGATCCGGGAATGGCGGGAATGGGCTCGGGAATGGCGGGAATGGGCTTGGGAATGGCGGGAATCAATCCGGGAATGGCGGGAATTAGCCCGGGAATGGCGGGAATTAGCCCGGGAATGGCGGGAATTGGCCCGGGAACGACGGGAATTGACTCGGGAATGGCGGGAATCGGATCGGGAATGGCGGGAATGGGCTCGGGAATGGCGGGAATCGATCCGGGAATGGCGGGAATTAGCCCGGGAATGGCGGGAATTAGCCCGGGAATGGCGGGAATGGGCTCAGGAATGGCGGGAATTGGCCCGGGAATGGCGGGAATGGGCTCGGGAATGGCAGGAATGGGCTCGGGAATGGCGGGAATGGGCCCGGGAATGGCGGGAATTGGCCCGGGAATGGTGGGAATGGGCTCGGGAATGGCGGGAATTGACTCGGGAATGGCGGGAATCGGCCCGGGAATTATCCCGGAAATCATCCCAGGAATCATCCTGGGAATCCCGGAAATGATCCCTGAAATTATCTTGGGAATCATCCCGGTAATCAGCCCTGGAATGATCCCTGAAATCATCCCAGAAATCCCTGAAATCATCCCAGGAATCCCAGAAATCATCGCAGAAATCCTGGAATTCCTTTAAGAATTCCCAAAATCCCACCCTCACAATCCCAGAATTCCTTTGGGAATTCCCAAATCCCAGAATTCCTTCAGGAAATTCCCAAATCCCACCCTCAAAATCCCAGAATTCCTTTGGGAATTCCCAAATCCCGTCCACAAAATCCCAGAATTCCTTCAGGAATTCCCCAAAATCCCAGAATTCTGCCCCAAATCCCGGAATTCCGTACCCTGCCAGGAGAGCGATTCCCTCGTGGTGCCGCTCGGGAATTCCCATCAATTCCCAACCTCCGGAATTCCCAACTTCCCGCACGACCTCGGAGCCGCCGGCCCGGACCAGAGCGGCCTGAAGGGTGCTCACGGCGTAGCTGGAAAATCCCGGAATGGGATCGGGATTGGGATTGGATTTGGGATTGGGATCGGGGTTTGGGATCGGATTTGGGATTGGGGATTTGGGATTGGATTTGGGATTGGATTTGGGGTTGGGGTTGGGATTGGGATTGGGATCGGGGATTGGGATTGGATTTGGGATTGGGATCGGGGATTGGGATTGGATTTGGGATTGGGATCGGGGATTGGGATTGGATTTGGGATTGGGATCGGGGATTGGGATTGGATTTGGGATTGGGATCGGGGATTGGGATTGGATTTGAGATTGGGATCGGGGATTGGGATTGGATTTGAGATTGGGATCGGGGTTTGGGATTGGGGATTTGGGATTGGGGATTTGGGATTGGGGATTTGGGATTGGGGATTTGGGATTGGATTTGGGATTGGGGATTTGGGATTGGATTTGGGATTGGGGATTTGGGATTTGGGATTTGGGGATTTGGGATTGGGGATTTGGGATTGGATTTGGGGTTGGGGTTGGGATTGGGATTGGATTTGGGAATTGGCATTGGATTTGGGGTTGGATTTGGGATTGGATTTGGGATTTCCCAGCCGGAACCAGAGCGGCCTGAAGGGTGCTCACGGCGTAGCTGGAAAATCCGGGAATGGGATCGGGATTGGGATTGGGGGTTGGGGATTTGGGATTGGATTTGGGGTTGGATTTGGGATTGGGATCGAGATTTAGGATTGGATTTGGGATTTCCCGACCAGAACCAGAGCAGCCTGAAGGGTGCTCATGGCACAGCTGGAAAATCCGGGAATGGGATCTGGGATTTGGGATTGGATTTGGGATCAGGATCAGGATTGGGGCTGGGATTGGGATTGGGATTGGATTTGGGATTGGGATCTGGGGTTGGGATTGGATTTGGGATTGGGACTGGATTCGGGATTGGGATCGGGATTTGGGATTGGATTTGGGATTGGATTTGGGATTTCCTGGCCTGAACCAGAGCGGCCTGAAGGGTGGCCACGGCACAGCTGGAAAATCCGGGAATGGGATCGGGATTCGGGATTGGATCTGGGATTTGGGATGGGATTTGGGATTGGGGCTGGCATTTGGGTTGGAATTGGCGTTGGGATAGGGGCTGGGGTTGGGATGGGATTCAGGATTGGGTTTGAGGTTGGATTGGGAATTGGATTTAGGATTGGGCTTGGATTTGGGTTTGGGATCAGGATTGGATTCGGGATTGGATCTGGGATTGGGTCTGGGATTCGATCCAGGATTTGGCCTGGGACTGTATTCGGGACCGGATTTGGGAATGGCTCCGGAATTGGATCCAGGATTTGGTCTGGGACTGGATCCAGGATTGGCTCCAGGATCGGATCCAGGACTGGATTCAGGATTGGATTTGGGATTGGATTTGGGACTGGATCCGGGACTGGATTCGGAATTGGCTCCATAACCGGATTCCGGATTGGATTCAGGATTGGATCCAGGATTGGCTCCGGAATTGGTTCCAGGACAGGATCCGGGACTGCATCCAGGATTGGATTCAGGATTGGGTCTGGAATTCGAACCAGGATTTGGTCCGGGACTGGATCCAGGACCGGATCTGGGATTAGGTCCAGGATTGGGTCCAGGACTGGATTCGGGATTGGATCCGGGACCGGATCCAGGATTGGGTCTGGAATTGGGTCCAGGATTGGGTCCAGGACTGGATTTGGGACTAGATCTGGGGCTGGATTCGGAATTGGCTCCAGGACCAGATTTCGGATTGGATTCAGGACCGGATCCGGGATTGGATTTGGGATTGGATTCAGGATTGGGTCTGGAATTGGATCCAGGACTGGATTCAGGATTGGATTCGGGATTGGATCGAGATTGGGTCCAGAATTGGCTCCAGGACCGGCTCCAGGACCGGATTCCGGATTGGATTCGGGATTGGGTCCGGAATTGGCTCCAGGACTGGATTTGGGACTGGATCCGGGACTGGGTCCGGAATTGGCTCCAGGACCGGCTCCAGGACCGGATTCCGGATTGGATTCGGGATTGGATCGGGATTGGGTCCGGAATTGGCTCCAGGACCGGCTCCAGGACCGGATTCCGGATTGGATTCGGGATTGGATCGGGATTGGGTCCGGAATTGGCTCCAGGACCGGCTCCAGGACCGGATTCCGGATTGGATTCGGGATTGGATCGGGATTGGGTCCGGAATTGGCTCCAGGACCGGCTCCAGGATCAGATTCCGGCTCGCCCCCATCTCCATTCCGGAGGGAATTCCGCTCCCGGAGCCGTCCCGGCTCACCCGGAACGAGAAAAAAAATTCCGAGACAAAAAAAAAACCATCCCAGACACAAAAAAAAAACCGGGAAAAGGAAAGAAAAAACCTCCGGAGCTACTGGAAAGAATTTTTTTTCCACGGAATGAAAGATTTATGGGGCTGGGATTGTTTTGCCGCCGGAGAAACATCTGGAAAAGATCCGTTATCCCGTCAAAACACCGGGAAGAGGAGCCAGGAATAAATCCCGGCTGTCGGATCCCGCACACGAAGGAAATCCGGGATTCGGGATTTTCCCGTCGGGATTTCTCCCGTTCCCGCTGGAATTTTTTTGGCGGTTGGAGAATTTCCAGGATTTGGGGATGGTCGGGAAATTTTGGGAATGGATCCAAAGCGAGGGGAAAATCTGGGAGTTTTCCAGGGGAAAATCCCCGGTGGAGTTTGGTTTGGGAAAAGGGACGGGAATGGCAAAATTCCAAAGGGGAAAAAAAAAACTCGGGAATGCCCGGAGAGGCCTCCGGGGCTTTCCTGGAATTAATTAAGGATTAATTAAGGGAAATTTGGGAGGTTGGGAAATCCTGGAATGCTGGAATGGGGCGGGAATGGAGGGGATTTCGGGAATGGAGGGGATTTTGGGATGATCCTGCTCCCAAGGAGCTCAAAATTCCCATTTTTTCCCCCAAAATCCCCATTTCCCCCCCCAAAATTCCCATTTTAATTCTGTTTTCCCCCCAAACATTCCCATTTTAATTCCCATTTCCCCCAAAAATTCCCATTTTAATTCCATTTTCACCCCAAAATCCCCATTTTAATTCCCATTTCCACCCAAAACTCCAATTTCCCTCCCCAAAATCCCCATTTCCCCCCCAAAATTCCCATTTGCTCCCCCCAAATCCCCATTTTACCCCCAAAATTCCCATTTTTTTCCCCAAAACTCCCATTTAATTCCCATTTTCCCCCCCAAAATTCCCATTTTCCCCCTAAAATCCCCATTTCCCCCCCAGAATTCCCATTTTATTCCCATTTTCCCCCTAAAATTCCCATTTTCCCCCATAATTCCCATTTTTCCCCCCAAATTCCCATTTTCCCCCCAAAATTTCCATTTTCCCCCCAAAATTCCCATTTTATTCCCATTCTTCCCCCATAATTCCCATTTTTCCCCCAAATTCCCATTTTTCCCCCCAAATTCCCATTTTTTCCCCCAAAATTCCCATTTTTTCCCCAAAATTCCCATTTTCCCCCAAAAATTTCCATTTTTTCCCCAAAATTCCCATTTTATTCCCATTCTTCCCCCATAATTCCCATTTTTCCCCCAAATTCCCATTTTTCCCCCCAAATTCCCATTTTTTCCCCCAAAATTCCCATTTTTCCCCCAAATTCCCATTTTATTCCCATTTTCCACCCCAAAATTCCCATTTTATTCCCCAAAATTCCCCTTTTTTCCCCCCAAATTCCCATTTTTCCCCCTAAAATTCCCATATTTTTCCCCCCAAATTCCCATTTTTTTTCCCAAAATTCCCATTTTTTTCCCCAAAACTCCCATTTAATTCCCATTCCCCCCCCAAAAATTCCCATTTTCCCCCTAAAATTCCCATTTCCACCCCAGAATTCCCATTTTTCCTCCCCATAATTCCCGTTTTTCCCCCGTAATTCCCATTTTTCCCCCCAAATTCCCATTTTTTTCCCCCAAATTCCCATTTTTTTCCCAAAACTTCCATTTAATTCCCATTCCCCCTCCACAAAATACCACACTCCACGGCAAAA